CTAAATGGGTAGGGGGCATTAAGGAATCTACACCTGAAATCACTGTTGCACTATATGCTAACTAACTTGGATATAAATTTTAAAAAATAATAAAATAATAAAAATTAAAGAAAAAAAGAGATGTGACTTGTTATGAACAAATGATACTAAATAAGATTTATAGCCAATTTCTCATCAGAAACCAGGAAGGCTGGAAGGCAGTAGGATGACATTTTTAGAGTGTTAAAAGATGGGGCGCCTGGGTGGCGCAGTCGGTTAAGCGTCCGACTTCAGCCAGGTCACGATCTCGCGGTCCGTGAGTTCGAGCCCCGCGTCAGGCTCTGGGCTGATGGCTCAGAGCCTGGAGCCTGTTTCCGATTCTGTGTCTCCCTCTCTCTCTGCCCCTCCCCCGTTCATGCTCTGTCTCTCTCTGTCCCAAAAATAAATAAACGTGGAAAAAAAAAAAAATTAGAGTGTTAAAAGAAAAAAACATAACCAAGATTTCTGGCAAAACTGTCCCACAAATAAATGCTGAAGGAGTCCTTCAGGTTGAAATGAGAGGACAAGAGACAGTAACTTAAAGCCGTATGGATATAAAAACCACTTGTGATGAGCACTGGGTGTTATACATAAGTGATGAATCATTAAATTCTACTCCTGAAACTAATATTACACTATATGTTAACTAAGTAGAATTTAAAATCATATGATTTCATTCATATGTGGAATTTAAGAAATAAAACAGATGAACATAGGGGAAGGGAAGCAAAAATAAGATAAAAACTGAGAGGGAGGCAAGCTATAAGAGACTCTTAAACACAGAGAAGTGAGGGTTGCTGAGAGGGTGTTGAATGGGGGGATGGGCTAAATGGGCGATGGGCATTAAGGAGGGCACTTGTTGGAATGAGCACTGGGTGTTATATGTAAGTGATGAATCAAATTTCACTCCTGAAACCATTATTACACTACATGTTAACTAACTTGGATTTAAATAATTAAAAAAAAAAACTTAAGTGGAATTTAAATAAAACTTTAAACTACAAAAAAAAAAAGAGAGACACAAAAAACACTGACAAAGACAACTATATACGTAAATATAAAAGCCAGTAATCCTGTATTTTTGATTTGTAACTCTTCTTTTTTTTCTGTGTGATTTAAAGAACAAATGTATAAAATAATAATTTTAAGTCTATGTTAATAAGACAAAAATTCAGTGACAGCAAATCTCAAAGGGATATTTATACCAACAAATATCTAATTTAAAAAGAAGGGGAGGTGCCAAGATGGCGGAACAGCATGGAAGTTTTTTTGTGTCTCTCATCCCTGAAATGCAGCCAGATCAACACTAAACTACATTGCATGCCTCGAAAACCGATTTGAGGATTAACACAACAATCTGCACAACCTGAACCATAGAACTCAGCAGGGGGAGAGGGAAGATGGCGGCGTAGGAGGACGCTGGGCTCACCGCGCGTCCTGCTGATCACTTAGATTCCACCTACACCTGCCTAAATAACCCAGAAAACCACCAGAGGATTAGCAGAACGGAGTCACCGGAGGCAAGCGCAGACGAGAGGCCCACGGAAGAGGGTAGGAAGGGCGG